CACCAAGGGTGGATTATTTTGTGCATTAGCTCTTAAAGGACTTCTGGTCTCATGACAAAATGGCTACAACACAACTAAGTACAGAATACTGCCATTTCAACATGCAACACCGAAGTCCACAAGCATAACGTGGACAAAATTGTGTGACGCATCATGTTGTGGAAAGCAATGTTATTAAAGCATGACTGGAAACATTAGCAAGCTTTAATCCCACAGTATCCAGAGCAATACATTCAAAATACATTTAGAATTATTTAAGCAGAAGTCAACATACTTTAATTTGTACACAGTAACTTTGCAAGACACCAATTTATAGATTTATTAATTTGGCTCCTTCTAATTTTGGACTAATGGGAAGAAAACAATCTTTTTTAGATAATTGGTTGCTACAGACTTTGCCTGCTAATAAACATGATTAACAATTGAACAGTTCACTACCATTAACAAGACAGAAAAAACCTTCTTTCCAGCGTTTTGAATGCAAGGTTAAAACAGAGTTTCTTAAAGGGGTATTGATCAGGTTACCTCAAACTGTTCTATGAAGAATGAAGAACAATATCTTCAATACAGCAACATGGAGAAAAGGTAGAAGATGCAGAGAAAGAAGAATCATTTTGGAGTGGACTGCTGGGCTGTCCTCCAGAAAAGATAGTTTGTTTCTTATATCATTTTTCTTGTGAGTATCATCTAGAACTGGTGCTTACTACTATTCAATAATCCAACAAAATGGTAGGAAATCATGATATAAATTTCTACATGCCTCCATTCAAAGGTAGAAATTGTAAAGGGGTTATTTCCCCAAATATGGAGAATAATCAACATTTTAACCACCTTCCACCTATTTTTCCAAATATTGTCTCTTTTATTATGTACTTAAAGCCACTACTGCTATCTATACACTGACAAACTGGTCTGTCATATCTCAGGCTGTGAATGCCTACATATTCACTGTCCTGCAGGCTGTTTGCTCTATATCTAAGAAGGTTCTTCAACAGCTTATGTACTGTAACACATCTTTGTTTAGCTCTGTATATGATAGGTTATCTAGTACGGCTATCTGGGGTAATACCTAAGACCTCACTCTTCGCAAGCTCATTCTAGACTGGCATCTTTTATCTTACCGATGTCAGCATCATAGGATCAGTTACATGATTTTCATTTGTATGAATCCCATTATACCACACTGTCATGTCTATTCTTTTGTTATTAGTCCCACATTATTGCCCTGTCAGTTGGTCTATGAATATGGCAAGGTTCAAATAGCAAACATGCTCCAAAAATACTTTTATGCTGCAAGTTCAGAAATTCCCCACAAGATAGAAGCTTGTATAATTGGGTCACAGACCTCTTACCTTTCTTATGCCAACACATGTCCCTTTTCTGTCTATTTGAAGCAAAGACTGCATGTAATAAACATTAGACAGCAAGTGAGGGAAGTGCAGGAAGTGCAAGACCTGAAGAGTGATTAAAAGCCTCTCTTCAGATGTTCTTGTACTATCATTTAATTTTTGCACCTCTTCTACTCACCTAGTTCTTTTCTTTGAAAATCTCTCACAACAGCGCAGGACTCATATTTTGCTATATGATTTGTATGTTAGGTGGTATTTTACTGCAGCACTGTAATGTGTATTCTTTGCATGATCCTACTGGATCCCATGACATGATATTCAGAGATAATAGGTGTCCAACTATCAACTTGTATCATTCACCCTAAGTGAAAAGCATCTTTTGAATACATCTTTTGGAAGTTTAGTCAATGAACTACCATAAGGTGTATTTGGTGAAGTACAGAACAAATAAGCAGGATTCAGGGTTAGCAAAATTATGGGAGCTCAACCTATTCCTCAAAGAATGAGCTTAATTGTCCCTATAGTTCCTGAATACAAGAATCACAAGATTGACCTACAAATATATTTTGCTATGTCATCTTTGATGCTGTCATTTGAATGAAGCTGAGTGCCATGCACAAGGATTCTTAGACTACCTACTGGAAATAAATAGGTTGATAAGTAATGAGAGGTGAGAATAAGGATCAAGGTGGATGTAACGATGAAGTTTAAGGATGGCATGTCCACGTGTGAAGAAGAGAACAGAACAGGACCTAGATTTGTCAAAAGAGAAATTTGAGTATACAGAGAATGTTTAGATTTAAGTGAAACATAAAAGTGTCTAAACTGAAGATTGAGAAGTGAAATTGTGACCAGATCAAAATAAGGGTCTGAAGGATAGAACATAATGGTGGAGTGAAGCTGACTCAAAGGCATGAGTGAACATGGAGCAACTGGTGATCGGTGCAGGGAAGCCCAGTTAGTAATGGGGAGTGAAGGAGGAGATCAAGGAACATGTGGAGGAGCAGACTGTCAGTTAAGGACCAAATCATCTGCTAAAAGCTTTATCTACTCAGTTTCAGCACACATTTCCGAATTTGGAGATATATTTGCTATACACACAATTACTTTTATAACTTTAAATTTGGTACGATATATTAAAAACCACTGAAACATTAAGGTGCAAGTAATTATCAACACAATTTACTTACATCAATGTTACACGATCGAAAGCGCTTTCTCTCTCCTAGACAATATCGTCCTCCGATAGTGGGTCTGGAGAAGGAGATAAATATTGATACATGAGGATGGCAGGCACAGGCTATTTTGTTTAAGGCAGCTGATATATTTTGAAGAGCAATACGACCGAGTACTATCAGAAAACTTTGGATATAATTTTGCCTCCGCAAATTTAGTTTGGTTTTGATGTAGTTTATTTGTTTGATTTGTCTCAAAGCAATGCAGTGATGATATTGTCTCTAAATTCTTTATTCATTAATGGGATGACGGCATCACTGGCTAGGCAGCGTTTATTGCCCATCCCTAATTGCCCAGAGGGCAGTTCAGAGTCAACCACGTTGCTGTGGGTCTGGAGTCATATGTAGGCCAGACCAGGTAAGAATGGCAGTTTCCTTCCCTAAAGGACATTAGTGAACGAGATGGGTTTTTCCGACAATTGATAATGGATTCATGGTCATCATTAGATTCTTATGCAGGACAATTGTTTAAAGCATTTTATACATGATTTAAATATGTCTATACAATGCTCCAGCTTTGGCTTCCACTCGCTTCTGTGCGTCTTTTTCATTTTCTTTGAGTCTACTCTAGACTTAGTCAAACAAGCACAGTGAGCACTGATCAGTTACCAGACTCACAAAATCAAATCCAGAACATTTGGACATTACACTTTAAAGTTATGGGAACAAAGCAGTACTAATGCACTGATACAATTGTTTTTTTCTAAGATGCCTATTTTGTAGCTTTGTGATTCATATGTGAGAACAATGTGCTGATCACTGCAACTATCTGCACAGGTTTGTAGTTAATCATCACTGGCACACATTTATACTCTGTACACTACTAACACACATTCCTCTTTGCTGAGTATTCCGAGGGATTAGAATTAAGTGAGGATCTTATCATTTCCTGTTTAAAGGTGTAACAGGGTCAAATTAATAAGGATTTCACCAAAGGGTCTGGGGAAAATTTCTGTGAGAGGGTCACTTGACCCGAAATGTTAACTCTGATTTCTCTCCACAAATGTTGCCAGACCTGCTGGGTTTTACCAGCAATTAACTCATCTGCAGTTCTTTTGGTTTTTATTTAAGATTTCACCACATGTATTGACTGAACCACTGTGGCATTGCCAATGGAAAGTTGAGACCTACACAGAATGAAATAACAATATTCTCTTAATCGTTTCATTGAGTTGTTACTGCAGTAGCATGTGAGTAAAAAAAAATAAATTTGTGATTTGAAATCAGAGCAACTTGTTACTGATGCCACACAATTACAGCAGCAATAATTCACTGACACAAAAGGAATGCTGATAAACGTTGTAACACAGTTAAGTATGCACTAATGAGTTTTTGTATAAATAAAAGGAGCAGTTGACAACACTAAATTACTAAATTCATACAGAATGAAACACTAAATATTAAATAATCCAGGAGCGGCCAGGGGAAATGAAATGGAAAAGGGGATCATATTGAATTAATAAATTCATAGACCAATAAATCAACAAAGTAATGAAAAACAGCTAGAAAACCAAATTATTAAAATATTGGAGGAAGGAAAAATCAAAGGATTAATGAAGCCACGGATGTCAGTGAATCAGTAACTCTGTTGAACAATCAGCATATTAAAAAATATCAATAAATTATCAAACCAGGAGACACCTGAAATTTGTAAATCTGAAAGCACATCTGAAATCAGCTACTGAAGTAGTGCAGCAGCAAGTATGAGTGAATTAATACCCTTTCCTACCTTGGCGATGACTCTGTTTCTGTCCCATGGCTGTGAACTAATTTCTGCCAGTTTCATCAAATATTCAATTGCCAAAGTGCTACAATCAATTATCATGCATACATGCTATAAAATTATAATCATGCTTCATGTAAAAGATTCATAGGAATCATAGAATCAGGCTATTCAGCCCATTGAGTCCACACTGACTCTCCGAAGAGCACTAGATACTCTCTCCCTTTTAGACTTTATTTCTGTGTTCACGTGTGAGTTTGATTATTCACATTATTATTTTTTCAGGTTTAGGAAATAATAAATCATGGTGAAAATCCATCAGAAAAACTTAAATCTGCTCACACATAGCTAAAAAGGTGTAAGATTCAGCCCATAATTACTGTCATGTACAAATGGGAAGGTTGATATTCTCAAAGGATGAAATTTGAAGAGTTGAACAGCCTTCTTCATTTAATCTTTTTAATAATCAGTAGTTCCTACATGCTTTAAAGAAGTATTGGGAATGTTACACTACAGTCCCTGGTAAAAGGTTGGAGAGGAACAAGTGCAATGACGAGGTTAATGACATCACAGGAAAGATCATTTTTACATTCATGTGGTTTCTAAACTTATACAAGTACACTTTGAATATTACTGTAAAGAGGAACATGTTGCATTCAACAGGCCAAATGCAAGAATGGCAATTTTCAAAAGATCACAACATCTTATCAAATAAGAGGAAAGAAAGTTGATTGGTTGGCAAGTTGTTTCTGATTGGCCAAGATGGTGTTATAAAAGAAAGCAAGAGAGATCTTTAAGAATTCTAAACTCTTGGGTCATTCAAAAAAGGGGCAAGACTTGTTTGCAGAGACCAGTACCTGCTTATGATGCTTCTAGGAAGTGTAAATAAGTTAATTACGAGTTTGACTCATTATCTTAAATTGGTCATAGATTTAGCTGTTAGCACAAGCAAGATTGCGCACCACTTGATAAATAATCCTGGAATTACATCTGACTGCAGATGTGGCTTTTTTTGTGGCAATGACCAATCAGTCAACTTGTCAACCAATCAGCATCCATTTCTCCTGTATTAGAAAATATTGTGATACTTTTAAAATTGGCATTCTTTCATTTTTCCTGCTGAGTGCAACATGAAAGTATCAGCATATTTCTTTCTTCAATAATATTCCTGTTTTGTACTCCCGAAAGTGCAATTATATCTAATTAAATTTGGCTGACTGAGCTCCATTCCTACTGGATGCAGTAAGAGAACTAACCTATGCATAGGTCAGAAAGACTATAAATCTACAGTTTCACAACTCATTCTTGGTATTTGGAGTATAATTAAAGGAAGGAAATTTAAAATATAGCTGTAAAGACAATAACTAATCTCATCAATTTAATATGCTTTTTACAGACCTTTTAGGTGTATATTTATATCCACGCAGTACATTGTTTACCTACCTTGGGCTGTCACATTGCCTGCCAGAATATGATACTCCACCTCCACATGTCCTGCTGCACTCTCCCCATGATGACCAGGGTCCCCAGGCCCCATCCACTCCCTCTGGTCTAGTGCCGAATGGGACACAGTCTCTTTTATAGCACCACTGTAGCAGAAACTTTAATTTCAAACTTTGCATACCAAAATTAGACAAATGCATTTTTCTTAGTAATTCAGTTGAAATAATTTTACAATTGACACGTTCAAAGTGAGTCACTGGGAAACAAAAACTTGCTCTAAAAACATTTCCACATTATGACCCAATATAATGTAACAGATTTTATATTGAATTTGCAGGAATACAGTGCTTTCAATAGTCAAGGTCCCATCCCACATCATTGCCCATGAGGAACATTCTCAGTGTTGTCATTTGTATAATGCAATTTGACATATTTTAATTTTTAATACATGTCACACTTTGCAGATTAGTGTTTCCATAAGGGAAAAAGTGTAGCTGATACACTGCAGTGATTTAATTTGTCTGTTCATTCTGTGACCAAATGCTAATTGTGAATCACATTTTATATTGGTTGGATGGAGCACATTATTAATCATTGCACAGCAAGATCAAGATGTTAAAATGAAAGAGGCAGAATGAGTGATGAAATTTAATATTGAGAAGTGAAAGAGTGAGAAGGAAATATAGGGATTGAATTAAATACTCAGTAGAAGGGACTGAAAAGTGCAGGGAAATGCAAACAACTCGAGTTCAAATACACAGTCTCGGGTGCAGGCAAGTTAAACTGTAAAGGAAATCATATATTTTAGTTTGATTAACATGGCTTATTAAAGAGTAAAATAATCATAAATTTATACAAGCCATTGCTTAGACCAAAGTTGAGAATATTGTTATGGACCAGATCAAACCCGCTCAAAACATCATGATTTTCCAGCATCTGCAGTTCCTACTATCTCTGATACAATTTTAACCCCCCTCAAAACATGTCAAGCCTACGCCCTAACTTATTCTTATGTTAAAGACAAGTGCCAGGTGTTGCATTTCAGATGCAATTTGACTGGTCAAACTGTCAGGCTCGAAGCAAAACACACTTTATTCATACACTATAATTAAAATACAGGCAAAATAAAAGAACTGGTTTAACTGTATCTCTATTGAAGTACTTAACAAAATAATAAACTACGCATTAACTGTTCCAAATTAGCAACATCGCCTAAGCACACCCTTGGCAAAGGCAAGTCAATAAAATAGATTGTATCTCACCCAATTCTCGCAGCAGGAAGAGAACACGAGCTTTTAGCTGTAGTAGAGAGAGATAGAGAGAGAGAGAGAAAGAGACAGAGAGAGAGATGTAGCAGCTTTCACAACCCCTACAGCTACTGAAAGCTAAAACTAAAATCCTGGTTCTGTGGGAGCTTGACCCGAGAAATTCAGGCAGCTTCTATTGTTCCAACTTTAAAAAATACCCCAAGGCCTCACAAGCTGTTTAGTGGCTTGAAGCAGACTACTTGCACCTCTGTCTTAACCTCTCTTCATAAAAAAGACAAAATACAACTCTTAAAGCCACAGTATTATCACAGTACACATTGTATAAAGGTCATCGTAATCCGAATGAGTGTATAAATTCGTAATTTCATCAGAAATTCATCAGAATCAATCAAATTAGGGACACTTCAGATCCTAGGACAATTGCCATTGGAGCACAGGAGATCTCTCTCTATATCTCTACAATCTTTCTGTGCAATGTGAAAATTATGGGCTGTTTTAACTTTTTACAATACTTGATTTCAATCACTCCCAAGTACACACACATTCCACTTAAGATTTATTTCACGTGCATATTTTCTCTCTGAGCTTTTTTATTGAAATTGTGAGCTTTGCTGACTTGTCATAAAAATATGATTAATGAATTAGGATTGTAACTGAATTATACCAAAATGAGCTCAACATCTCAATAATAATACATTCTAAAATGACAAATGAACATTATCACAGAGAGAAGAAAACAAGACAAATTTATAGTTACCCCCTTTTCAATGGTATTTGATTGGCATACTGTCCCCTCAGCAGCAGGAATGCTGTTTGTAATACAACGATTGCTTTTACTAAGACACCACAACTCACTGCATACCTCCTACAAATAAAACATTCATAAAAAGTATCAAGCACTAAAAACAAAAGACTATGCTTAATAAAGTTAATTGTACGCAATAAGTTTTAGATTTTGTTGACACACATTACTTTACAAAAATTAATTGCAGGACAATGCAAGCAAAAGATTTTCATAAATTCTTTAAAAATCATTAGCAATATTCTACAAGTTGAGCAAAGCATTTTACTTTAACAGTTTAGGTATTAAAATCATAAACTAGCAAGCTTCAACAGGGATGTCTCCTGCCTTTAGGAAGTTTAGCATAAATCTATACAATGACAGTTTATTGCCTTCAACTTGACTCCTGCTGGTTGTTGCAAAATGTATGTTTTTGACATTGTGGACTGTTTTCTAAAATTTGTTGTTACTATCACTTCTATTGTCTCCGGTTTGAGTTGTGTGTGGAAACCCCTGACATATTGTTACAGGATTCCAAACCATGCTCCACAAAAGCCCCCTCTCACGTTTTCTATTTAAATCTATCAGTGTAATCCTCTTTTTTCTTCTCCCTGATAAGCTTGTTTAACTTCTTTTCCACCACTTCCTGTGATAGATAGTTTCTCGCCACTCGTAGGTGAATAGATTTCTTTTCAATTCCCTATCTGATTTCTTGATGACTATCTTACATTGTTGGCGTCTAGTCATTCACAATTAGGAACATGGGCCTGGAATGAGTGCCTGACAGTGGCACTAAATGAGAAAGAGTTCCACACAAAGACAGGACGGTTGACCACTTGCAATCACCAGCTGCAGTCGAGGCTGTGGCCGAGTGGTATTATCACTGGACTGTTTATCCAGAAACCCAGATAGCATTCTGGGGACACTGGTTCGAATCCTGCCATGGCAGATGGTGGGATTTGAATTCAATATCTGGAATTAAGAATCTAATGATGACCATGAATCCATTGTCAATTGTCAGGAAAAACCCATCCGGTTCACTAATGTCCTTTAGGGAAAGAAACTGCCATCCTCACCTGGTTTGGCCTACATGTGACGTCGGACCCACAGCAATGTGGTTGGCTCTTAACTGCCCTCTGGGCAATTAGGGATGGACAATAAATGCTGCCTGGTTGGCGACGCCCTCATCCCATGAATGAATAAAGAAAAAAAACTCAATGGCCAGCCAGTTAGTTAGGCTCGGTCAAGTGTCCCAGCCAACTGGGGAGTGGGGACAGGCAGTAAGTTGCTGTCCCAGTTATTATCTTGTAGAAGTGCAGGTCCTGTTGCCACATTTAAGCAGCACCTGGGCAGATGTCCATTCCTTGCAAGTCAAAAGTATCTTGCTGCCGATCAGAAAGAAGGATTTTGTGCTGGAACTGGTGACACTCACCCCTCACCTACCATACTTGGATCCCTGGTGCTACTTCCACTTCTGGTCTGGGCAGCTGCCACACAAGGTCGATGTGAAAGGTCAGCCTCCTAATTCATGGCTCAATAACGTTCCCCATACAGGAAAAACAACTTCTACTCACTCCCAATCTGCCAAGACCACCTTGCCCAATACACCATCTTTCACCGGCCATGAAACTGCTGCCAACTTCATCACAAAGGTACAACTTAATGAGCATGCACAACTATTGTATTAAAACTAGATTCCTGTCATTTGCCCTTGAGAACCACAATCCACCTTTGATCTATGCCATTTATCTTCACACAGTAGGAAACAGACATTACGTTTCCTGTACAATTATGTGACCTTTTGCCTATCTCATTTCCCACTCTAGGAACCTTCACTAAATTCCTCCCAATTTTTGGAATCTACTGTATCAAAACCTTTTACTATATTATTAGGTTCTCTCTTTTAGGCTAAACTGCAGCCCCACCCAGCCCCACCAGGCCATTGAGTTAAACAGCACAGAAAACAACCCTTTGGTTCAACTCATCTGCACGACCAGATATCCTAAACTGATATAGTCCCATTTGCCGGCATTTTGCCCATATCCCTCTAAACACTTCTTACTCGCGTGCCCATCCAGATGCCTTTTAAATGCTGTAATTGTACCCGCCTCCACCACCTCTTCTGGCAACTCATTCCATACACACACTTGCTGGTCACAGGCCTTCAGTCTGAAAATAGCTCTGTACTACAACCCTCTGTTTCCTACCTTCAAGCCAATTTTGTATCCAATTGGCTAGCTCCCACTGGATTCCATGTGATCGAACTTTATTAACCAGTCTACCATGTGGAACCTCATTGAACGCCTTGCTGAAGTCCTTATAGACAATGTTTATCGCTCTGCCAACATCAATCCTCTTTGTCACCTCTTTAAAAAACTCAATCAAGTTAGAGACACAATTTCCTACACACAAAGTCATGTTGATTATCCCTAATCAGCCCTTGGCTTTCCAAATGCATGTAAATCCTTTTCCTCAGAAACTCCTCCAACAAATTACTACCATTGATGTCAGGTTCACTGGTTTATAATTCCCCAGTCTTTCCTTGCCACCTTTCTTAAATAATAGCACGACATTAGCCACGGTCCAGTCTTCCATAATTTCACCCATGTCTGTCGATGATACAAGTATCTCAGCAAAGGACCCAGAAATGTCTTCCCTAGCTTCCCACTAAGCTCTGGAATACACCTGATCAGGTCTCAGGGATTTATATACCTTTATGTGTTTTAAGACTTCCAGCACCTCCTCCGTAATATGGTCATTTTTCAAGACATCACTATTTATTTCCACAAGTTCCCTAGCTTCCATATCCATTAAAGGTGTTCAAAGAGACCCAAGCTGCTTATCCTTCCTGATATGTATTCCCTCAGATTTCTGGCATCACCCTTGTAAGTTTCTCTGCACCCTCTCCTTTTTATTATATGGCCACTAGATCTGCTTATAGTCCTCCACTTGGGGTCTGAACAAAGTTTGACACAGACTTCGCATAACTTTCCTGCTTCTTAATTTTATCCCTTTAGAAATAAACTCTATTGCTTGGTTTGCTTTTTTTAAGACTTTGCTGAACTTCTTTTGTTATTTTGTTATGTATTAAGAATTTTGCCTGCCTGGTAGTTCTGTAATTTGTATCATTGTTATTGATCATTAATTTACAGTCTTCACCTGGACTTCAAATTCAGCCCACCAAATAGGGTGTAAAGTAGCAGAGACCTTGTACACTGCTCTCAGAGTTCTGGAATAGTGATGGTCCAATGGAAACCTGTAACTTTCTAGAACCATTTTCCTCATTTCAGTGCATTGTAAAATGACTGTCCATTGTAGCCCATACTAAAAGACCATCTTGGGACAAATTTAGTTTTGGTGACTGAGTTCTCACCCAAAGGTTGGAGAACCATTGTGAGTCCAACATCACCAACACTGCAGAAGGCCAAATGGAATTAAATGTATGTAAGTATCAGGCCTTGCCCTAGATTTAGGGCTACGGTGATAAAAGCCCCATCTGCCAAGAGCTGCTGGCCTCTGCCAGCTAATCTGAAGCTGGCAGCTCTCCACAACTGCCAGTTTGGCAGGAACAGTGATTGTTGCCGATAAAGCACCTAAGGAGAGGTCTGGGATTGCTGATGCCACAGGTGAGTGAGAGTGGAACGTGGTCATGAGAGGCTAGTTGGCAGATGGTTGGGGAATGGCTTTCAGCAGCCTGATGTTAGATCCCTTGGTCAGACACTAAGCGTCTTTGAATGGGGAATATCCCTGCCCCTGGAGTTCATAAGCAAACTGGTCTCCTTGCCCCATTCTCTGTTGGTTGAATACAGATGGTGTTGGAATGAGGCCTTAAATTAGGCACTTTCCATTGTAGCCCACACAAAGAGGCCATCCTGGGATAAATTTAATTTTGGTAACTGAGCTCTCACTCATAGGTTGGAGAACCAGTGTGGTTCTCATCCAAAGGCCAGAACTGCTGTCCACAAGTCTTCCTTCATTAGACTTAATCAAGGCAAAGGCCAAAGTGACGAGGTCACAATAATCAAATACATCCTGCCACCAAACTCACCTCAGGGGGGATAATTAATTCTGCCCCTCATCTCTGAAAGGGATAGCTTTCTTTGTACAGTATTATACTATGTTGAAAATCACTAATACACTTTGTGACTACTAGCACATGATCAATATAAAATGAAGTGTTGATAATGGATTATTTCGAAAGGAAATTGGATGGATACTTTGTATGTGATAACTTTCCAGGACAGTGGAATAGAAAGGAGGAATGGAACTGATTGGGTGGTACATGGCCTCAGTTGTCTGAATAGTCTCCTTCTGTGTTGTTATGACTCTATGATGTAATCATCTTTATTATCTTGAGGTTAAAATCTTTCATGCAGCTTTTAAGAGATTAAAAAGAAATTAGTTTAGGCAATTTTCCTGCTCCTCTGATGCTGCCTGACCCGCTGTGTTCCTCCAACTCCACACTTTGTTATCTCTGACTCCAGCAACTGCAGTTCTTGCTATCTCTTAGCTTAGGCAGTGTTGGTTTGATTTGCAATGGATTTTTATCATAAGCATAGCATTATCCTTATATGAAAGATATAAACATGTTCTGGCAGGCAATTGTAGCATGGCCCATAAATATTAAGGCATGAGTATCTTTTTCTATAGTACCGTCTATGACAAAAAAGATCAAAACTCCTTCCCATCGAAAATGTATCAATATTTCTCAAAGTAATAAAGCAGGAAGACTCTCTACCCCATATTTACACTGGCGAGATTTGACTCCATATTGGAAACGGCACTGTTCATCAGCATCATACACCTGGCCTGGGGCCACAGTTGGGTAAAAGAACTCCTGCTTTGGAGGTGCATTGATGAGACATCTACCATGTCCTGAACTGACAGAAAAGAAAGAATTCTTATTATGGAAGGAAACCAAATTTATCAATGTTCTAAAATTATGTGTAATCCAGGAAATTAAATCCAGAGTAATCCAGAGTTAAGAAAAAAAACTGTGAGAATAAAATCTCCATGCAAAATTCAATTTCCTACATTTTCAATGATCCTTGTACCTGTTAAAATGAATAACTGTTAAATGAATAAAATGTTTAAATTGATTTTATTTAAGCGTTGTATAAAGCTTTGTTAAGACTGGTTGGCAATAAAGGGGCTTAACCATGTTAACCATTTTCTGCCATTCTTTTTTCTCTCAGTGTGAAAACTGCCCCGTAACAAACTCAGTAATGTTTCAGTGGCACTTTCACTCCATCATATACTAAGACTGAAGCACTTCTGACAATCAATCTGATTTTGTTTTTTCCATTTTGGTGTAACATCTCTGCAGTATGAATTCTGTAGTTTTGTAATACAAATAATTTACCTTGTTTTCATGAACTATTCAAGTAACAAAATGATGGATGAATGGAATGGGAGAGGAGACCTTGGCATTTAAAAATATTGAGAAATAAAATTCAACATTTCTACTTCTTTTAATGGGGACAGACTTAGTGGAGTAGATGACTGATCTGCCACCTAACAGCACGATAAGGCACTGAAATGTTTCAAAGAAACTGCATACCTATATTTTATCTCTGTTCCAGACTTAACCTAACATCTGACAGGAGATGAGAATGACTAGACTGAACAGGTAAATACTTTTCTGGTACTGCTAATGGACCAAGAGAAACAGAAGTGCTCCTCCCGGTTCCCCTCCCATCCACTCACTCACCAAAAAAGTTCAAGCAACAGTGCATTCACACTCATGATTGGATTGTGCCTGAAAGTTCAATTCGCACTCACCTACCCTTCTCCTCATTTCCTACATCCTCCTCCAGTCAAATCTCTCAACTGCTGAGATCCAATACTGTACGCCACCATCAGTCAATATCTCAATCTAGTTGGCTCCAGCCAGGAAACAGATTTAAACTTTATAAGGGGTTAATTTTGGTAAATTAAGCAGGGCCTCTGAGAAACCCACATTTATGAGATCTGCAGGAGCTAAATCTCTTTCTACTTAGCCTGTTCTTATAAGTGCCTCTGTCTTTTTTTTATTTCTACTCTGACCGTTAGAACTTATTGAATCTTTTTGCTGTAGCTTCTCATTGAAGGGGCGTGTGCATTCATGAAGCATTGTTGTTAAAAGTTCAAACTATTTAAATCAAGGAATGATTCTTGTAAGGGTGAATGCTTTTCCCATGAAGATAAAGTGAAACTAACTATGAAGCTGAAAGGACTAAAGGTTTCCTAGATTTCCAAAGTGATCTAAGAACAATATGTTTTGCATTGCTCAGTAATGTGTACAATGGAATGAAACAGATAAAATAACATCTTTCATTTATCTTCAATGATTTTGGGGATATTTCACTGGACTGTAGTTGCAAATGTTCAATATTAAATGTTTAATGCCATTATCAAACTCTTGCCGTACTCAAATAAAGCTGATTACAGAATTGAACATTTAAGTTTCTAAAATTACTTGGCAAACTTATTGTTTATTTTACAGATTTCCTTCGTGGTTATGAAACAGAAACATGGACTTGTTGCTTTTAATACTTCATTCAATGAATGAATATATCTTAAAGAGGTACTCGAGGGTGTATCTTAACGGCAAACACAGCCGATCACAGCCCATCAATCACATGCAGAGAAGAAGATTCCATGTCTGTATTGAATGTATAACCTTTATCATGAAGAAGGTTAATGTGAATATTCAGATTCTCGGGTACATTAGATTGATTCTGTTTCTTAAAATGGACAAAACCATGATGGCACAATCGTGCATGCTCTTCAGATATTAAAAACCTGGATCAATTAGCTATTGCAAATGGACAATTGATGAATCTGAGAGGTTTCATTTGGAGGTTTAGTACAGCCAGTTACCAAATCTTTATAACTTACAAAGAAGTTTGAAATCATTTACTCATAAAAAAAAATCAATACCCCATTAAAATACTTTTTATGCAGCTGGTGGATTTATTTGTGAATATTAAAACTGTGGTCCAATTCAGTCTATTTATAAAATTTAGTTAAATCTTTTCAATGAAGAATTTGTGACGTGCAGAAGATAGGTTGTATTCCGTGCATTAGAAAGAGTTTGGTTTTCCTTGTTACTTGCTTTGGGTGAATGATAATGTTTTATCTCTAGCTTTTTACCCTCTTAAGCCATCTGGAAAAATACCAGGAGGGACCTGAGGGCAACATCACCATTCAATACCTTTAAATGTGCCAATTAGTTGCAATGATCTGCAACCTTCTGAAAATTCAGACCAGCACAGCTATTTATTAGCCTGGTCTCTGTGCTCATAAAGTGCTGATCTAAAGGACTGCAAACAAAATACTTTAGCCTTCAGCTGCAACATAAGTCATTGCAACACTCCAATTTTACAACATTTCAAGACTCTGAATCCATGTTCAGAATTGATTTCAAACTGTAGTTTTTATGTAAAACAAGACTTAAGCACTATTTTAAAAACATGCTGATCAGTTATAACAAAGTGTAAAGCTGGATAAACACAGCAGGCCAAGCAGCATCAGAGGAGCAGGAAAGCTGATGTTTCGGGTCTAGACCCTTCTTCTTCCTGCTCCTCTGATGCTGCTTGGCCTGCTGTGTTCCTGCTCCTCTGATGCTGCTTGGCCTGCTGTGTTCCTGCTCCTCTGATGCTGCTTGGCCTGCTGTGTTCATCCAGCTCTACACTTCGATCTACCAGATTCTCCAGCATCGGCAGTTCCTACTATCTCTGGTCAGTTAGCTGTTTTGTCTAAACCCTGGTCACAGCACAGACATTGACAGACACCCAATTACTTGTTGTTCTTATATTTTATTATATTTTCTAACTTCTTACTCCAAGAAGCTGGTGATGTAATCCCTGCTGCATGTTGACCAGATGAAAGGGTTCGTTTTCACAGTGATATGGGCAGCCATCAGCTTTGCTGTTTCCTGACCTCTCGGACCACAGGAGTTTCCAACTCCATCGTGATTCATTCCAAAACTAAAAGAAAGAAAAGTCAAATAAACAAGACAATGTGCTTTGGGACATTTAGTTACAAATACTGCTTAATTTATTTTTCTGCTATATGCTGTCACCCTTATTTCTTGAGAACAATGGAAAAAGGGTGGAGTTTGATACACTGGCTATCTCGCTTATTTATCTGAAACAGACACAAGGCACCATACAGAACTTCAGAAATGCAAAATATTTAAACTGTATGCATATAGGATTCCCACACTTTTGAAGACTGGAAGTTCTCATTTAAACAGGTGTTGGGGCTTTCATAAACTTGCAACAAAATAGCTGACAAATTTAAAGAGGTAGACAGAAAATTGGTAAATAAACTGCTGATACAAATAATTGGAATGAGCTGGGGACCTCTAGGGTTACACCATCTCTCTTTGGAGGATGTGCATCCTTTTGGCATAATGTTCTATATGTGCTGCGTGAAGAAAGAGGAGAATACAGCAGACATACTTTTGGATACAGGAGGACATGTATATTCTGTTTCGTTGCTGCATGAGAACTTTCCTCCCTGTCTGCTGATTCACTAGGGGAGGTATCTTGAGGGACTTTAGCCTTGGCTTGACATGGACGCAAGATCGCGCCAGATATTTGAACAGCTAAATGTACATTATCACTTCGATACTGTAATGAGGGAGTGCTGACCTGTCCAAGGTGACATTAAACAAACTCTGTCCGCTTTCTCAGGTGGAAGTAAAAGCGAAAATAGTGAGCTGGGCAGTTTCCCCAGTATCCAGGCCAATAATCTAATATGCATCTTTTCATCAATAGATTATCTGATTAAGTATCTCATTACTATTTGTGGGACTTTGATATTTGCAAATTAGCTGCTACACGGCCCCACAAGACATTTGGGACTATGCTTCATAATCACTTCATTTCCATAGAAATTCTACAGTGTAGAAACAGGCCATTCAGTCCAATAAGTCCACACCCACTCTCTGAAGAACATCCCACCCAGGCTCACCTCCCTACCCTATCCTTGTAACCCTGCATTTCCCACAGCTAATCCACTTGATCTACATATCCCTGAATACTATGGGCAACTTAGCATGGCCAATCTACCTAATCTGCACATCTTTTGACTGTGAGAGGAAACTGGAGCACCTGGAGGAAACCCATGCAGATGCGGGGAGAATGTGCAAACTCCATACAGACAGTCGCCCGAGACTGGAATCGAACCCGGGTCCCTGGTGCTGTGAGGCAGCAGTGCCAACCACCGGGCCTTTATGTAGTATTTTTCCAGATGACCACTCGTGGCACCTTATGGTAGGTGCCACGTCTACCAGTACATGGTACCGGGTATGGGCTGTTAGAGGTAGCTTGCTGCCACCAACTGTCCTTTGTCTTGAGACCATCCTTTGATTAGTGGTAGAGGAACAGGTACCATCCTTAGATAACAAGGATGCTAATTGCATGGTAGCAATTAGTATAACTACATTTGGTCAGGCATAATTACTAGAACCTTACAGAGATGGTACAGATATATCTGCTCCCTCTAAAAGCTCCTTGCTTCTCTCCACCCACAACCAGTTTGTGACATCAGTAAAATGGATACAAACGTTAACCCCTCAGAACCATGACAAAAATGGCTGTAAATATCATTGAAATGTCTTGAAATCATAAAAGGGTTATTAAATGAAAGTCCTTGCCCTATCAATCTATTTCAGGGGCATCATCTGCCACACATCACACAGAGTACATAAGAATATTTTTACCTTGGACTCTTTTGGTCAAGTGAAGTAAATGAGGCAGAGAAAGCAAGCATTGGAAATGTCTATGTAAATTTTCACTGATGAAAGCCAACCGATGACTGGCTGGCACAGAAATTAGTCTTGACTGGGGCTTCTTCAAAGTGGGCATCCCTAGAAGAGGATTCGCAGTGGGATTATAACTCACTCAGATATAGTAAGAACTGCAGATGCTGGAGTCTGAGATAACACAGTGTGGAGCTGGAGGAACACAGCAGGACAGGCAGCATCAGAGGAGAAGGAAAGTTGACGTTTTGGGTCAACACTGTGTTAGCCTTGATTGGGGCTTCTGTGAGTTTCCTACCTCTTCCAATCTGTACACATGCCAGACAGAAGCCTACCACTTGGTTGGGCTTTGAACCTCAATATTGGGCAGGAAACAGGACTGCACTTATCCTGGTTTAGCGAAGAGTAAAGTCTACCTCATCAAGGTGAGATGGTGGCAGAGTGGTAATATTGTTGGATTAAATTGGAAACTCAGGACAATGCTCTATGGATACGGATTACAATCGTACCGTGACAGCTGGGAGAATTCAAATTCAGTTCATTATTAAATGTAAAACTGAAAATCAGTATTAGTGACCATGAACCATCAGATTGTCAAGAAATCCATCATTCTTATTTGTTCTGGCCTATACATGATTTTAGACACACAACAATGTAGTTGACCCTTATCTATCCTCTCAAATGATGTAGCAAGCTACTGAGTTCAAGGCAATTATGGATGGGCAACTAATGCTATGTCCACATCTGAAGAATAAATAAAGAAATGATTTAAAATTAGATCACTGTTTTATAGCGGAAAATGATATGTTGCAGATATACCAATGAACAGTTTGAGTAATTATAGAATTTCTTGCACTGGTAAGAAAATAGTGAACCAATAAATAACTAAGAATTATTTCGAAACAATGTTTAACAAGCTAAGCTTGACTATTTACAAAGGTTGATTTTTCGTGGTTTAATTTTCAGGAGGTAATGCCCAGAATTGAAAATGAGTAGAACAAAACAAAATGATACTCAAAATTAGTTACAAGTCTAGCTTTACATTTCACAGGAAGGAGATACTACTTATTATAGTAACGTTTCTCTTACTTGTGACCAATTTCATGAGCGATTGTAAATGCAGTTGCCAAGCCTATGTCCTCATTGATACTGCAGCTTCTCTCTGGTTCACACATACCACCTACTGGAGCTAGACCTGCAACAGAATTGGTCATTTAACTCAGAAAAAGAAAGATACAGTCAAACATAGGTATCAGCAATTCAGCTGTCAGTAGCATATGGAAGCTCGTCTTGAAAAGAAAGATGATGCTATCGGCAGCTTGAAAATTGATTTAATGTCATCAAAACGATGTCAACAGCCATCCTGACTGCAATATTCTTCCTTGCAAAAACAGAAGAAAACATGTAGACAACAACAGTAAAGCTTGGTGTTAATGCGGTGACACTGACTCTTGGGAAATACATCAGGTCAAGTAGACTTATCCCTTCAGATTAGCTGTGGAGTGAGTTTTCCTGTACATGCAGACAGGATTCCATAGGCTGACAAGGGTCCCACCCATCATTGTTACAGTTGACCACATGATACACAGAACCATCTCCTCTGTAAGACTCAGGGTATGCAGGCGTTCTGCTCCTATGATGCTGCTTGGCCTGCTGTGTTCATCCAGCCCTGCACCTTGTTGTTCCTGTCCTTGACCTGTTTAGCTTTGCTCCCTTTTATTGCCCTGGCAAAACCCATACTTAGCATCAGTGAGCATTGTATTCAATTGCAAAAGCCTCTTTATAGCACAGTAGACAACCACTTCCACCACTTTTCTGACAATTGAAAGTAAATGGATAGGCTGCTAATTGTCTGGGTTGGATTTGATCTGTTTTTTGTGCAAAGGGCATATGTGTGTAATTTTCCACATTGTTGAGATGTTAGTGTTGTAGCTGTATACTAGAACAGCTTGGTTAGGGACATGGTCGAGCAGTTTCAAGGCTGAAGAGATTACGAGAGAGTCGCAGTTGGAGAGAGATCCCCTGAGGTTTGTCCGGAGGGAGGAGGGTAACTTCTTCAGGGTAGGCATCCTTAGAAGAGGCTTCGCAGTGGGGTTAAAATTGTATCAGAGATAGTAGGATCTGGTTAGGGACATGGTTAGTTCAGGAGCCCATCTTCACTTCTATTGCCAGAAAATTGTAACACCCATTGACTTTGTATTATCCAGTGTGTTCAGCCATTTCTGGAGATCACATGGAATTAATTGAATTAGTTGAAGATAGGCATCTGTGATACTGGGACTTCAGGTGGGGGCAGGAATGAAACATCCACTCACCATTTCTGCTCTAAGATGGGTGTAAATACTTCAGCCGTGGCTTTTACACTGACGTCCTGGGCTCCTCATTCGTTGAGGATGGGGATAATCGCAAAGACTTCACCTCCTGCTTAGTTATTTAATTGTCTAACACAATTCAGAACTGGATATGGCAGGACTGTAAAGTGTAGATCTGATCCATTGGTTGTGGGTTCACTTAACCCTGTCCATTGCACGCTGCTTCCGCTGCTTGACATGTAAATAGTCTGGAGTTGTTACTTCACTAGGTTGACCCCTCATTTTTAAGCATATCTGGTGCTGTTCTTGATATATTCTCCTGCACTGTTGATCAAGCCAATGTGATCAGCAAACAATATTGCCTGTGCCCCTTTTGTTTGTACAGCAAGTCGCAGCATTATGAAGAGGAGTCCGGCACAAAAAGTATAGATAGATATTTTCTAATGGACCTGTTCAGAGATGTTAATATACACATTTGGGACAGACTGGACTTGAAACCAGGCCTCCTGGTCCAAAGATAGGGACACTACCACTGCACCAGAAGAGGCCCCCAAAAGTGTAGCTATGGTACTGTAATCATGAAGATCAGGTGGGCAGGCTAATCTTTGCATCTTGTATTACTAATTACAGGACATAACTAGCTGTGCTGAGTTCAATGAGCTTGTAACATGAGATTGTGAAGACGTCAAGTATGAGAAGCCACTTTTGTGAAGCTAAGAGTTCTGCAGCAGAAATTAGCCAGCAATATGGTGATTTACAATTCACATGGTTTCTCTGCTTTGCCAAAAATGGCTGGCTGATTTGTACATTAATAACTGCATGCGTCATCCAGTCAGTCTGGTTTGTACATTTCTATCATAAGCACAAATTACACATTTCATCATAACAAGATTAAATATTTAAAAATGTCCATCTTTTGAGTTAATTTATTAATATTTATTAATGTTATTAATGTCATTGGCAACAAAGTTCTTTCAAAGATCTGGGCTCAGATCTGAATTGATATTTTTGGCCACAATAATCAAACTGACGGGAGATCTTGCCATCTGAATATATACAGTGTGCATAAATTTTCCAAGATGCATCAGTGGCATTTTGCAAGTCCAACTGAAAGAATGTTCTTCATCAGTCTCTACCAGACTGTGTTCATTTGGCTGTATTCAGTCCAAATAATTTGAAGAAAAGTTGGATGGCATATTGAAAAAAATGTATTCAAGTGAAGCTCATGTTGAGTCTCCTCTTTAATGCATGGGGCTGTCTGTAATATAATTTATGGTGTTGATAAAGCACTCTAATACAGTCCTTTTTATCCTGAGAACAAAAAAATGCAAGACTATGGCTAAAGAAGTGGGATTATGCTGAGTGTTCAAAACCTAAATTACAAGTTATGATAACTTACCTAGAGTTCCACAGGGCTTGTTCTTATAAATGCAAATGTCATACCTGCAAAAACAAAAGAGGTTACCAAAGCAACTTATTAGCTTGATACAACAACTATTTACATTGAAAGATGGCAGGAAGATTGTAATTCTGTGGTAGCACTGCTGGGGTGCACCAACTAAAAGTTTCCACTCTGGACAGCTATTAACTTTGTAGAGTTAATGATAGTACAGAGGGTTTAATAATGCCCATGGGTTGATATATGTGCCGCTAGGGAGAAATCTCAGCCTCTCATTAACAGAGAAGCACAGGTACAATTGCGGGTTATCCCTTTGTAAACCAACATTGTAGTACTTTTGATGAAGGCCAACCTCTCTGTTTTAAATAATGTCACACTGAACCCATATACAAATGAACATCTAGCAAGCCGAAAGTAGTATGCCGAGTTCAGTCTGCTGTACCAGCTGCTCAACTGAATTGTGGCTGGAGAAGAGGAAATTCTCAGCTTGGAAACTCCCTCCGTTGTCTTCTTTGATTTCAACAGGAGAATAAACAAAAAATATCTCTCCACTTCTCACCTCATGCCCCATCCTATTACTCCCCATGCCTCATCCATGACTACTCCAGGTCACGTCATACACTCCATGCCACCCCAAGCCCCTCTACCCATCCCTGTGGCCATTATAATTAAGAGATAGTAGGAACTGCCGATGTTGGAGAATCTGAGACAACAAGGTGTAGAGCTAGATGAACACAGCAGGCCAAGCAGCATCAGAGGAGCAGGAAAGCCTAGACCCTT